TTAAATCAAAATTTATCAGAGAACATCTCTAATTTATGTGTTTAGCTTCTTCAACTGTTTGTCAGTGTCAGATTGTACCACAAGGCATTTGCTCATGACAAATGTATTTTTTAAAACTCCTAATGCGCTGGCTGTTCCTTCTGCAACCATGCCCAGTGATGATAAATCAGAGTGACTCCAGAAAATAGCTCCTTCATTTTTAAACAAAACAAACAACTACTGTGGGAATATCAGCTACATTCTTTAAACAAGGGAATTTACATTTTTGCGTGTTGAATCTAAAGCTTGAAGTTTTAAATCTCCATGTAAAACAATGACAATTCTAGCAATTGCTTATTTTTTTCCTAAATCCATTTTCCCTCTTATTCTGGGTCACAGTAAGGTAATCCTGGAACAGCCAAATCAATAAACTTTCTTCAATGGGATCAGGCAGCTGAAAATGGTAGCAGGTTACCTTGTTTTTTCAGGGTCATTCCAGACACGTTAGGAAACTAAGACTTCTAAAAACAGTTTGGAGGTAAAAGATGATGAAAGGAACTCTGATACAAAAACAATATTTGAGAGTACCAAAACAAGAATGTCAAGTATTAAAATGGAATAATTATATCTACAGTATCTTGGGTTTTATTATGTAATGCTTATTCACTTTTGGCCAGATTGCCAGGTGGGTTGTGTTTGAACAATTATTATGTACTTCAGATAAAAGGCTAGCGCTGGCTTTTGATGTTGAAGGTTGTTTTTCAATAATAGCATAGAAACTAGAAGGTGAGTGCACAGCAGAATTTTAGGTTAGTCATGTGCTTTCTTTTCATGGGGTTTGAGTAACGTAGCTCAAAGTGGAGTGAAAAATTTGCAGAGACACCAAACTGTAACACATAATGTGAATTCTCAGACCTTTCAACATTTTTGAGGCTACAAACCAAGGATATTTAGTGAACACAGTTACGTAATTCGGAACCTGCTTTCTAGTGATAACAGAGGCTTATATGGAAAACTGAGAAATCACTGCAGGACTTAGCCTCATGGCATCACAGATTATTACTATGAGCTATGGGTTGCTGAAGTCCAAAGCTGATTTGTCCTTGAATTGCATTTGTTCAGAAGACTCTTTAATTCAATGAGTGAGTAAAACATGAGATAGTACACATAAACATTCTCAATAAGCTTTTGAAAGAACGTATACCCTGTGCTACGTTCAGAAGTAACAGGTTATGGTGTGTTTCTTTTAGCTCTGTGACATGAAAAGAAATTTCTTTCAATTAATTTACAACCCAGTAGCTGTGCCAAAACCCGTAGCGAAGGGGATTAATACAATCTGAATAATTCATGATCCACAATTCATGGTTAACTGTCAGTAACTGCAACGAAAACAACAAAAAAAAGAATTATGATTAGCAGTTGGAAATTAATAATTCAATCTGAAAAAACAGCAGTAAATGGAATGGGCTTCCTTTCAGTCAGCTCCCCCATTAGTCATACTTTGTGCTAAAAGAATTAAATGGAGATTTTTCATTAAATGGGAACGAGTTGCTTTTTCCAAAATTATGTTTCACGCAGTCAATTAGACGATTGTTTTATGTGATTAAGACCACCGATTAGATTTGTGGAATTACACTTCTGCCATCTTCGTTTGTTAGAGTCTGGAAAAATCCCCTAAGGAACTGATGAAAACAACATCCTAAGATGGTGTAATAATGTGACTACTGTAGCCTGCGAACATTTCATTTATATGTACCAACCATGCATGTGGCCGTTATTATGGGGACGTTAAGCATGGATGCTAGTTTACAGTATATATGAAGGTCAACTGTATTGTATTCAGTTCTGCCGGCTGATCACCTTGTTAGACCAGTATAGAACTTTTGGTTGACTACAATTTTGGACACGTTTTCTACTTTTAAGGGCAAATTGCTAGTTAATGTGAAGTACCGTAAAAACATTTTTTTCTATTAGTACTGGAGTACGTGGTTCTCCGACTTGTATTATTTGCAAGATAAACTGTTTTCACAATTTAGGGTTATCTGTCTATGCTATTGGTCACCCTGTTGCTTCTGTTGCTCTGTTGGTAATATCTACAGTATGAGGGCATGACTTTAAGAGCTATCTGTGGCACCACAGAAAAAGACCATTTTACTAGTAAGAGGTCCACTGTAAGCAACTAGACAATGGTACTATTCCATAAGCACAAATAAATCGCTTAGAAAGTTATATACTGTATACAAGTAGTTCAGGTGGGTAGCTGCGTCAGCATGCATAGGCTGCAAAGGAACAAGTAATAGGTTTATTCCATGCTGAAAAGAGAAGAAAGAAAACACAACATTTTGGCCGTGATTAATATACTGTATGACCAAGTGCTAGAATATACAGTATGTTAGTTTCATGAGCTTAGTTAAATATTTCCTTAATTTTAACAGAGAATTGCATATTATACATATCATGTGTGGTGCTGTAGCACTGAAGGCGGGTTCAATTTCTAATTTTGTTATTTTGATGGAGTGTCCTTTTCCACTGGATCTTGGGGTCACATCTAGCCCTGCACCCTGTGCTCTTGAGATCCAGATCAAGTTTACCACATCTCTACCCATACTAAGTCTTCCTGGTCATAGATGGAATGAACATGTATGTATTCACTGAACCTGCAGACTGTTCTGTACTTTTAAACTGATATGGGAATTATTCAGCACATGCATAATGTGCCTTTATTCAGGTATTTTCAAGCACATATTGTACAATGAACAATACAGTCAGCACAGTTTCACCTAGTGTGAACTGTGTGACCACAATTAGACTTGGCTTTGAAAACATTCTCTCATATTCCTATGTATTAAATTGAGCATGATTTGTCATTTATAGATATATAATACTGTATCTTGGCATCTTGGTTTTCTTAATGTACTTCAAATCACAGCTGAATGCACAAGTAGCCCTGGAGTTATGATATTATTAATATAACAGAGGAAAACTTATGTTATACTGAAGGAAAATACTTGCTGAACCCGTCCAAGGGGAGATAGAAAATAAATAATTTACATATTGCATTTGCTAAATGATTCCTTTCTGCCAAGTAGTTTTGCCAGACAGTTTGTCAGGTTAGGTATAATTTTGTAAGAAATTTGTTGTAATTTCTGGATAAAGTGTGCTGGTCCCTAATTATTTTTGATTATTGTCTGCATGTTCTTTTTTTTTTCCTCTGAGTTTGCTCAGTTGATTCTTTATCATTGTAATCACACATAAGAACTGTGGTTCATTATAGTGGAATAGTCATGAACCTTCCGGGAAAAGTGAAATGAAAATGCATGGATATACTGTAGAAGCGTTGTGTTGTAATTGCAGCATCACTCAAATACAGGATGTCATGGCTATGTTGTCAATTCAGCATTTTTGCAAATTCAGGGACAGAGCCAGATTTTAGCAGAAAAAATCAATGTTACAGTTTCCTGCTTTATGCCCTTGTTGTTTGGTATTTGTCAGTTCAGTCCTTTATATGAATTTGATGGGTTTATAATAGAAACCCAGTGGAAATGCATTGCAATGAAGGTTTATTACATTGCATTTGCATTGCATGGTTTTACTGGATATCAAAGATTTCAGAATACTGTCATCTTGTAGTTTTGCAATGGCCCTGCATTCATTCCTGTGTAAATGTAGTTTTTGTGGCACATGAGATGGCTACCATCCCTTCTGCTTTGTCCCTTCCAGGGATGAGCAGCCTTTTCCTGGGAATGGGAGGGGGGCAATCGGTTTCTTAAAAAACGCTGGCTGGTTCCGCTGGTGGAATCCATCTGCAGTTTTTGGAAAACAGCCTTGTCTGTCTGTGGTAAATGCGAGCTTGGTGGAGCTGCACCTCCTGGTTATTCAGAACATGAGCCGTTGTTTTAACTCGGGATTCTCATCCATTCCTTCTGAAGTTCAAAAGCAGTTCAAGGGTTTTGCACACGCCATTCCTGTCTGCCAGCCAGTTTCAGCGTGCAGTTAGAAAGAGCTCAATTGCATATGCCCTTATCTACCGTTACTCACAGTGGCCCAGCAATTAGACGCTTAGAGCAAATGCAGACTCATATTTATTGCTGTAACCCCCTCACACTGGTTTCTTCTGCCTAGGGCCTTTTCTGCTGTTGAGCGCTGAACTTGGATGTCAGGACTTTATTCCTTCTTCATTAATTGTCTATATACAGTACAGCCTGTGCTTGACCTGTAGACTTCCGTCTTCCATCTATTTTCACAGCTTTTTTCGCCTTTTCTGCAAACATGTTGTTGCTGTTTTGATTATATCTTAATGTTTCTTCTTCCATTTCACACTGCATTTCTTATTCTCCTGGTTTTAGGATACGCAGAGCACCATATACTGTAGGTGGCTGGGTTTGGAAGCTGTCAGTTCATGTTTCAAAGCAACTGGAATGCATATCGCATGGATATAGATAATTACTTATGTCTTTATTCCTGAGTAAATAAAATGGTGTTAGATATTGTCTCTTTTTAAAGTTTATTGTTCTAATTACAGCACATTAAATAGTACAGTTCCATTTTTTTGCTGTCACACGACTGTTTACTCATTGTTTTCTTATCACTGCCAATAACAGCTGTTTACTTTAGAAGAGACAGAGCAGTCTTCAACAAAATGTTTTTACAAATATGCACTTAGATGGTATTTGGAGTTTGATGTTTTTACTTATTTGTGGACACAAGTCCACACTGTTTGGCAAGCCTTATTACAAATGAAATCCTTCTTAAATGGACAGACATGTTAGTAACAAACGATATGTACTGTATGTGCTAATATTTCTTTAATGTAAAGATGTATTGTATTTGAAACCCTATTTGCTTTCCCCCATGTTATTTTTTGTGACATAAAAATCTATTCAGAAAGAAAGTTCAGCATGTGTTTTGCTGTGACTTCATGTCTAGTCTTACGAGATTCCGGCCATACATTCTGCAACTGCTGTGGTATCTTTTAGAAGTGCAATGTGTGAATGTGCTTTTTTATCTTTTTCTTCCTAAAGAAGACATGCTTCTTTGCCCGTTGAAGTCACGGAAAACCATGGCAAACTTGCTACTGCACTGTGCAGAAGAAGCTATCCCTGTCACAAGTGGAAGTCCGCATCTTTTGGGTAAACTAAAGGGTTTATTTACTCATTATCATTGGAATTGTTGAGATAACGATGTGTTGATGTGCATGACTTGACTTTTTTTTCCAATTTTGTGTGTTTCAGTTTCATCTTCTGATGCAAAATATAAGCCTGTTTGAAAATACTGTGTAGTTGTGCTTGTTGTTTAAGGAATTCTGAGTTCTGGTGTTGACCTTTATTATTATGTATTACTGTGTATTAATTGTTTTTTTTCCAGTACCTACTGCAACATCTGCTTTATCAGAAGTGCATACAGAATGCTTTTATGCACAGAGCAACATAGCCAAAACGTTTTGTTTAAAATGTTTGTGGTTAATCTGATCATGTAAAATGTTTAGTTATAAAAAGGCTTAGTAGGCATAATGTTTATTTCTTAAAGTAGGATACTGAATATGTGTGGCACTAGATGAGGTTTGTGTTTTAATGGTTTATATAATATTTTTGGAATAAATCCACTCTCCCTTGAGCATGTGGAAGTTTCAAATTGCATAGAGTTCCAAGTACCAGTCTACCTTAGTGTGTAACTGCATATTTACTGAAAACCACTTCCCAAACAAAATGAATCTCCCTTAATTTCATTAATTATAAATGGCAATGAATGAAACATCTTATTTCATTGATACCTGCAACTGTATATTGAGTTATTGTTTTTACCCTGCGGTTTATATGCATTTTAGTTCAATTCTCAAGACAAAGTAAAATGTTTTGCTGGATTCTGTTTTCAGACCATTTGTGTTGTGCAATAGAATGTTATAGGAGAAACACTGGCCACTTTACTTGGCAAACAGCTTTATTTTGTTGCTTCACTCTTACCTCTCACCTAGTGACACTAAGTTTCACGGGATTCAATTCTCCAATTCTTAGAGGAATAACCTAGAATTTCATCCTCTGTGTATCACGTGCTGCTTACCAACAACTTACATTCAACCATCCGTAATAAGCGGAAGTTTGAGAATTTAAAATTCCACATCCTACTTTAGTGTTTATCGCTTGAATACTTTTACCTGCAACCTTCTATGCTCAAGAATCATTCATTTCTGATTTACTTTTTACTGCTTCTCTGCTATAGTCAAGGTAAGGGTATGAGATCAGCTTCAGGCTCCAAGACTTATTGCCTGAATTATTTTCATTTATCAGAGGAATTTGGGCCCTTTAAAAAAAGAGAAAGATGTTTACCCTTTGTTATCTTCTTTGCAAATGAAAATGATCTCCTGGAGTTCAGTGGAAACCGCACCTAATATCCATCCATATATGTTGTTCACAAATCAATATTTTAATGAATCTGGACATGACAAACAATTATGTATCTCCCGAGAGAGATCTTCATTGCTGTCCTGTAGTCACTGATTTGCTTGCACAAGCAGTGATAAAACACATAATTTATTATTGTTTCTCATCAACTGAAACCCATTGAAATTCTCCAGCAAATTGCATAGTGTGGGTACTTATTTCACTTCAATAAAGTCAGCAGAATGTGACCTAAGAGCTGATTTACAAATGAAATGAACTGCAAGAGATCAAAATATTTAAATCTTGAGAATTCAGAGCTGTGGGAAGCTCACTTGAAAGAGTTCACAGGAAATTTCAGGCCCTTTTCACTGTGTTATAGTTTGCAGTAGACTCCCACAGAGTTTTGCAATGAAAATGCTGTTCCTTTTCCTTGGCAAAATTAAATATAAATTCAATGTCAGACCAATCTAAAAACAGTTGAGTAACAGGCTTTTAAAAGTTAATTAAGTTAATTGTCTGCGAACTTAATCAGTTTGAGTCTTTAACAAGTTTTTTTTTTCTTCTTTCCTCGGCTCCACCAAATTGTTTTTCATTAGAAGATGAGAATACTGTACACAAGAGAAGACTATTAAACAACAGTGTCTTTGCTGTTGAGCTCATCCACTTTGGTTAGTGTAGTAGAAGAACTGATGCTAAGTGCATATTCTAAGAGTATCTGGAATGCTGTAATGTACAGGTGCACTGCTTAGGTAGATACATTTTGTCTTATACAGTACCTACTGTATGGCTTTCTTCCATCCATTGTTAGAAAGTCTCTTATTCCTGGTATGGGACTTGGTAACCTGGAAACTATCCTGAACGAATAGGGCACAAGGCAGGACTACACTGGACGTCAGTCCAACAGGCACCACTCACTCAGACAATTTAGAGACCAGTCAACCCAATCACCATGTCTTTGGAAGCAGAGCACCCTGGGAAAACCCAGTGGGCTGGAATTTTAAAAACATACTGTATCAGCTCCAACAGGTGTGTGGCAGCTTCTGCTTAATTAGAACTAATGTACCAGACGGTGTCTGAGTGGGCACTCAATGGTTGTGTGTAGGTTTGTTTATGAAGAGAGAGAAGGGATCATTTGCGTCCTAGTCTCTTACCTACATTTAAAGACCACTTCAGAAAAAAAGTGAAGTGAATTAAAACAGTTCTGTCTACCACAGAAAGATGGTAGACTTATGACAATTCTGTTTCCGAAAAGTATTGTGATTCAGTAATAGGTACGGTAATTTATATTCAGATCCATAAATCTCATATAGGGTTAGTAATTTCCTTATCAGAGGCTCAGTGGTACATCTGGCAAAGAGCTCTTCTTGAATTTCCATGGCGTTAAGTGAATGACCTTCTCCCCCTGCCCATGGCCAGTACACATGGGTTACCCCCCGCAGTATTTCCCTTTTGTGCAGTTGGGTGGACTGGAGCAACTGGAATCATGTTCCTCACTCAGGGTCTGCAGCAGAGATTTGAACCCATAACTCACCAGCTGTCCACAGTGGAAACCTACTGTACCTGCTTATGCTACACTGCCATCATTAATCCTATATACTGTATACTTGAAGCAAGCAGTGTTGAAAGCCTTTTTTCTGGCAATGCATTATTGTGTATCCATTTTGATTGTACTTGCATAGCTAGAAAAGTATGGGTTGGTTAGATTTTTATGAGACATAATTCTGAAAAAAAAACTGCGTTTGAAACTGACTATTAGTAATTCATGATTTTATCAAATATTTATCACCTTATTTGGTTTCTGTTCCTTAGTGTTTCTTTTCAGGCTAATTCATAAGGTGGCACATAATGAATGTTCAGTACTGTACCAAAGTATTAGCAGGGTAGGTCAATTGATACAATGTTTGAATGCAGCTGAAAGGTGGGCCTTGATAACCCCAATAATGGAAGCTTACCCTCAGTCAGGTACTGCCTGGCTCAACAGCCTTTGTGCCAAGAAATCAGGAAGATGATTCATTCTCTATTTGCTTAACAGTTTTGGTCGGTGATTAAATCTCAAATATTAGACGTTTTGAAAAAAAATGTATTTTTTAAGTGATCCCTTCGCCACAAAGACAACCTTTTGAAAAAGCTTTTTAATTGTTCTATGCTTGTGTGTCTACAATTTCTGACAAATAGTTTTGAGCACAGGTACCATAAACAATGGAAAACAATAGTCTTTGGGTTGGGAGACAACAGTCTGCTTTCTTTGACTAATTCTCATGGCAGTTTGGTTTCTGAATAAATGCTTGTTTGCATTAATAAAATAAAGAGGAATGCATCATGACAGAGGGTATTTTTTTAATTAAAATATGTATATTTATGATTAAACCCATCCCTTTTGTGAAAATATATTACATTTAAAGCCCTGACACTGCTGTCTTTGTCATTTAGACTGAGTCTTCCTTCACACACAGTTGGTTGTATGATTTTATGGAGGTGATCCATCTGTAAAGCTTTCTATCTCAACCTGAAACATTCCAGTGTTTTAAAGATTATGTCTTAAGGCAGCAGAATGCTGTCAGCTCTAAATCAGTATTCAGTCAAGCTAGGGGAAAGGTAACAGACCACCATTAAGCTTTTGGACTTTGATGTAGAGAAGGTTACAGATCTGTCGCTCCTGAGGTGTTCAATATTTCAGCTTATATATTCCTTTTTTAACATACTAGTTAGTAAATACAGATTCTTATAAAAGTTTGTGTAGATGTCAAATCCACATTTGCAAATTTGTATTTCAATTATTTTTGCATATTTAATTATTTTGTTTTGCTGATGATCCAAATCTCTTTCTCTGTGTACCTGTAATCTACTATGTTCAGAACTGTAAAGACCTTCATAGTGCTTCATTAAAATTTAATGTTACCTAAATATAAAAGTCTTTTGTTCTTTTAAAATTGATTACCATGTTTTGCTGACTGGTATGTAATTTAGCCCCTACCTTTGCCTCTGCACCCCATTCTGAAAAGAAAATTATTAATTGCTTTGCATAAACCTTCTTTTAATTTTTACAAAATGTGCTTATTCATTTCAGTCTGTCAGGGTGACTTTGGCATCACAAAGAAAGACAACCATGAAAGTTTTCCCAAAAAATAAAATTGAATTTTGACTTTGTTATAGCTTACTCCTAATGGGACTAGAAACTGGATCTGAACAGAACTAACTCAAAGAAGAATGATATGGATTTTGAAAGTGCATTTAATTAAAATCTTTAAAAATATTTCTGTGATGCAAATATTTGGATTTTAGAATTGTTTCTGTGGTTATAAAGTATTGTGTTATTAATAGTGTTATTTTTACACTAAATTTACATGACAGGTTATGTACAGTAATTGATGGAAATAGCACCCATTAACTGGACATATTCCTGATCCAGAAATCTAGGCTTAATTAAGCAGCTGGGTCAGATAATGATTGTACCGAATAGTCTGAGAATCCAAATATGGCCTTGAAGCACTTACATCAGTATCTTTGATACTAAAGAAGTGCTGCAGACAGAGATTGGTTCTATTGAACACTGGTCAAGGGCGCTTGTAAACTGAAATGGAGCAATCTCTGAGGGCTCACAACTAGCGAGCAAAACATGTCAAATAAGTTTATAGTCTGGAGACACCAAAGAAATGTTAAATGCTGCGAATACTGAAGCAGCTGAAAATAAGAGAGAAAATGTCTAGAGACCAAAGCTCCAAGACTTCATTGTCCAGTTAATAGCTAAGCCT